TAAAAGCTATTTATGACAAACCTACAGCCAATATCATACAGAATGGGCAAAAACTGGAAGCATTCCCTTTGAAATCCAACACTAGACATGGATGCCCTCTCTCACCACTCCTATTCAATATAGTATTGGACATTCTAGCCAGAGCAATTAGGCAGGAAAAAAAAAAGAAGGTATTCAATTAGGAAAAGAGGAAATCAAATGGTCTCTATGTGCAGATGACATGACTGTATATTTAGAAGACCCCATCATCTCAGCCCAAAATCTCCTTAAACTGATGAACAACTTCAAAGTCTCAGGATACAAAATCAATGTGCAGAGATGACAAGCATTTCTATACACCAATACTAACAGAGAGCCAAATCATGAGCAAACTGCCATCAACAAATGCTACAAAAGAGAATAAAATACCTAGGAATACAACTAACAGAGGATGTGAAGGACCTCTTCAAGGAGAACTGGAAACCACTGCTCAAGGAAGTAAGAGAGAACACAAACAGATGGAGAAACATTCCATGCTCATGGTTACGAAGAATCAATATCGTGAAAATGGCCAGACTGCCCAAAGTAATTGATAGATGCAGTGCTATCCCCATCAAGCTACCAATGACCTTCTTCACAGAACTGGAAAAAAACACCTTAAACTTCATATGGAACCAAAAGAGAGCCCGCATAGCCAAAACAATCCTAAGCAAAAAGAACAAAGCCAGAGGCATCACACTACCTGATTTCAAACTATACCACAAGGCTACAGTAATCAAAACAACATGGTACTGATACCAAAACAGATATAGACCAACGGAACAGAACAGAGGCCCTGGAGGCAACACCACACATCTACAACCATCCAATCTTTGACAAACCTGACAAAAGCAATGGGGAAAGGATTCCTTTAATAAATAGTGTTGGGAAAACTGGCTAGCCATGGTCAGAAAGCAGAAACTGGACCCCTTCCTGACACCTTACACTAAAATTAACTCCAGATGGATTAAAGACTTAAACATAAGACCTAACACCATAAAAATCCTAAAAGAAAATCTAGGCAAAACCATTCAGGACAGAGGCATAGGCAAGGACTTCATGACTCAAACACCAAAAGCATTGGCAACAAAAGCCAAAATAGATAAATGGGATCTAAGTAAACTCCAGAGCTTCTGTACAGCCAAAGAAACAATCATGAGAGCGAACTGGCAACCAACAGAATGGGAAAAAATTTTTTGCAATCTACCCATCTGACAAAGGACTAATATCCAGAATCTACAAATAACTAAAACAGATTTACAAGAAAAAATACAAACCCATCCAAAAGTGGGCAAAGGATATGAAAAGACACTTTTCAAAAGAAGACATATATGAGGCCAACAAACATTATGAAAAAATGCTCATGATCACTGATTATTAGAGAAATGAAAATCAAAACCACATTGAGATACCATCTCATGCCAGTTAGAATGGCGATCATGAAAAAATTTGAAGACAACAGATGCTGGAGAGGATGTGGAGAAATAGGAACACTTTTACACTGTTGGTGGGAGTGTAAACTAGTTCAACCATTGTGGAAGACAGTGTGGTGATTCCTCAAGGACCTAGAAATAGAAATTCCATTTGACCCAGCAATCCCATTACTGGGGGATTGCTAATCCCAAAGGATTATAAATCATTCTAGTATAAAGACACATGCACACTTATGTTCATTGTGGCACTGTTTACAATAGCAAAGACCTAGAACCAACCCAAATGCCCATCAGTGATAGATTGGACAAGGAAAATGTGGAACATACACACCATGGAATACTATGCAGCCATAAAAAATGATGAGTTTGTGTCCTTTGTAGGGGCATGAATGAATCTGGAAACCATCATTCTCAGCAAACTGACACAAGAACAGAAAATCAAACACCACATGTTCTCACTCATAGGCGGATGTTGAATGAGAACACATGGACACAGGAAGGGGAGCATCACACACTGGGGTCTGTTGCAGGGGGCCAAGGGAGGGACATTGCAGGGGTGGGGAGGTCGGGGAGGGATAAGACGGGGAGAAATGCCAGATTAGGTGATGGGGGGATGGAGGCAGCAAACCACACTGCCGTGTATGTACCTATGCAACAATCCGGCATGATCTGCACACATACCCCAAAACCTAAAGTACAATTAAAAAAAAAAAAAGCCACCTCTACTTTTACAAGGAAGTTGTTTTTTTTTTTTTTTTTTTTTTAACCAGACTAATATGCTGTTTTCTTTCATTGTGCTTTAGGAACTACCTGATTCCTATTCTGATTAACCATTTAATTTCAAAATAATATTTTAATAGATTTTTCCTGTTTATTTAGGTCACAGTTTTGCAATCCAACAAAGGAATTCTGAGTTTCTAAAACAGTAGTTTGTGGGTCACATTTAAATTTGTGGTAAGATTATTGGTACTGCTTTAGTTCATATTCTTGTTTAGAAACTCGGGACTAATTAAAATGTGATCCTCTTTGAGGCTGGGAGTTAGGAAGTCACTAAGGTACTTAAAATAAATATCAGTGTTTTTAAGTGTAATTACAGAGGAGTCAGACTACAAATGTGTAATAAGGGTAATTAGTACCTTGCTTGAGTTAATTGATTAAAACTGATGTTTGGTCCTAAAGTAATTGGAACTCTGTCATCTGTGAAGGTCATGCCTGTTTTCTTATATGTACAAGGTAATGAAAATGTAATAAAAATATACTGAAGTCTCAAGAATTAATAATTGCAGTGGGAGATCAGGCCGAGTTACAGACATTTAAGTATGGTACTGCTGCACTGTTAATGTTGGAAGTAGAGACTTGAAACACTTAAAACATTTTGCCAAGTAGAGGTCTCGTTCACCTACTTTAAATAGCCAGATAATTTGTTCTTCTATTGGCTTATTTAAGTGCTGAGAATGTGTATTTCCTTAGGAAGCCTTACTTACCAAAATTCTGTTGGCCTCATGTTGATCTATCAAAAGTTTCAAAAACAGTAGACTGTTCATTGGTGTTCTTACCATATGACCATATTGCGTTTACCTAGCACTTAGGTTTTTTGGCATGAAAGTGCTCTCTGAAGTGACCATTTGTTGTTATTACTCAGCCAAGGTTCTAATTGGGATGGTAATGAGATGACCAAAGGTGAGGATATTGGGTGTCCTGTACTGCATTGCGTTAAGGCTGGAGGCCTACGTCATAGGGCTGAAATCATGGCCGCTGTTGTGCCTCCATTACGTGCCCTGCCTGTCATTGTCTTACACCGCCACCTTCCAAACTGTCTTTTACTCCCTGTGCCTAAGAGCAACTATTGCATTTCAACACAGGTCTGAGAGCATCCTGATTACCAGGAATCTGGCTTCTTTACATCTGTGTTCACCTTATTTGCAAAACTAGGGTCATAATTGTACTTTCTTAAAAGGTTTTTGTGGTTGTTCTGACAAGTGACATAATGGCACAGAACACACTTAGCATGCTGCTGACACATGCCATGTGTACAATAAATATTCGCTCTTCTTCTTAGAGGCAGGTCCCAGGTGTAATATTTTAATACTTTCTTAATGTATCTTAAAACTTCCAGGCCAAGGAGATGAAGTCTTTTGTTACCCAATTTTTGAATACCTGAGTATAGTCATTAAACATATACGGTCTCTACTTCTGAAGAACTATAAAGGTCTTAGGTAAACAGAGTAATCACAGCTACAGCTACTAGGGCCCCCTGCTATCTGGGTTTTCAACACCTCCCAGAGCCAACTTCCAGCATTTAGGCATCGCTTCACAGTATGTCTAACTACTTGTCTTTCTGAAGTTGTTCTAAAATCCTTGTAGATAACACCTTACGCTTATTCCACCTCCCCTACCTCCCTCAGCACAGCTGAGACACACTAGTTATTGAATGAAACTCATCAAGTCCCGAATTCTTTACTGCCCCACTCCTCGCCACGTGGGATTCTAATGAAAGAAACTTTTACTTTATGTCATTCAAAAGGGCACTTTTCCAAAAGTATAAGAGAGATTGTACAATGTAAGTGTTGTGGTCCGTGGCCTAAGAATTTACGATTATTAATGTCTGCATATTTACAAAAGGGAGTAAGAGTGAAACTGATACAACTAAGAGAGTTATTTCTCACTTTGCCTCGCAGCTTTCCTCCTCTAGAAAGATTCGTTTCCAGATTCAAAAGTTTATTTCTAAATGGCTGTTTCTCCCCCGTCATAGCCTGCAGTGTACATCAGAATAAAGAACCGTGCCATGGATGAATATCTGACAGTCACTGGAAATCTAGCAGATACCAGGGCAACATCGGTGTGCATTTCTCCCTACAGTGGAAAGAACACTCAGATCTGGCACTACTGCCGAGGTATCTTTAAATCCAAGGTAAGCAATCCCGCTGACATGGTATGTCACCTTGCGTTCAGTTTCTTTTGAAAACTAGAATTTTGCCAAACTGGCATGATATAACACTGCAACTTCATAGAAACAGGTGTTGCTTATTAAAAAAAAAAACTGCCATATGTATTACTAAAATATTCAAATAAAATTGACTTAATTTTTTGACCTAGAAAATCGTTTCAATTTTTAGGTAAACACAAAGGTTATCACATACTCTGGATATAACTAAGTGACTTTTTACAACCAGTGGTATAAGTCACCAGATCTAATATTGGACAATGTGCTTTTGTAAGATGCTCCTTACTTGATGGCCCAGATACAGTCAGCTGTCTCTGTGATTCTCAATACGTGGAAACCCTTCCATTTTCAAAATACACAATGAAGTCGCAGAAGAAGAAAGCTGTTACTGGAAATCTATGTTCTTTTCTGTGACCCCTCCATTACGTTTAATGCACTGGAAATAGAACCCTAGTTTAAAAACATTAAGTCTGTGTTTTACTGTATCACCCATGGATTATCTACTTTCTCTCATGCTTCAAAAACGAGAAGCATTGAAAAGTAATTGTCTGGATATCTTTAGCCCATCGTGCAATGTTTTCGTAAGAAAACCAAGCTCAACATAATACATTGTAAGCAAACAGGGACTTCACATTTCATTCCAATTCAGCAAATCTTTATGCAACATCTGTTGTCAGATGTAGACATCCTATTAAAAACAAGTACCTCTATTTCAGTAGGTTTATTTCTGTACCATCTCCTCCCCACAGCCATAAAGAAGACATTCAAAAGGACTTACTGAAATTATACTATTTAGTATTTTTTTTTTTAGATAAGACACACACACTTCATGTCTATGATTTGTTTACCTAAAAAGAAAAGGGATGTAATTCAACTTTAGCAAACATAGTACTGCCAGTTAATCATGTCTTAACCCCTTTAGGCCAGTGATACATGTCTTGATGTGATTGGTGGCCGAGACACACCTGGAGCTAAAGTAGCTCTATGGACTGAACATGGGCAGTTCCGGCAGAAGTGGAGACTGAATAGAAATGGAACTATCAGCTCTTATCTCAGTGATCACCTTGTCCTCGATGTTAAAGGTGGGCCTTTGATGATACCCAATTTTGTGTCCCTGGATATTAGTTTCAGTTCCAGATCTCCTCATTCTGGGTAAAGGACATCCTTATAAGAGAAATGTTAAGTCATTTAAAATTATGCTTGAAAAAAGTTAAGATACACAGTTTTACAAACAAAACCACCAGCAGAAAAACCCAAACAACAAAGCCTAGGGTTTTTGTTCATTAGTACAGTTGTAAAACTTTCATTTGCTACAGGAACTCAGAAGAGTTCTAAATTTGAAGCACCGTAAACCATAAAATGAATGTCATCTGTTTCTTAGAAACATACCTCGTTTTTTGCCAGGAATTGCTATGGTCCTTAAAAACCCTCAGCTAGACTTTATGGCAGGTATCAATTAACCTTGTTTTTGAATTCAGCAAGGTCAGGGCCAATATTATTCATGGCTGTTGCTTTAATTGGGTTAGTCACAGTTTTGGTGGTGTAGAAACAAAAACACAGTACCTGACATTCAGCCAGAGTTCTCTCAGAGCACTTTGTTCTGAAGAATTGCATTGTTAAGGCACAGCACTTATACAATCATGTATTATGCCTTTTAGTATTTCAGTTTGAGTCATAATAAGGTCCAATTTGAGGCGAATAATGGCTAAGCCTGTTGAAACTCAGCTTCCCATTTCAGACTTCTTTGTAAATGGCACATTAATGCACTGAAACGGTGAGAGCAGAACAGAAGCTTGTGAAAATTGTGAAATTGCTAAGCACTGGCCTGAACAAATAAATCTTTCCTTTTGGAATTTCTGTTTTAGGAGGAAACTATTGTGACAAGACTCACGTAATTGTAAATCAGCCCCTGGAGGGAGAAGAAACACAGAAATGGGACATTGAAATACTGTGAGAGAATCAACATCCCTAGAAAGAGCAAAGGAGGAGGAAACTCCCATCTGTCATTGTCTTGCGGACGTGGAAAGGAAGCTACTGTCTTCACACGCCTGGATCACTGAGCAGAATGAACTTTTTCTCCAACCTCTGAGACTATTGCTCTTAACCATGGAAAAAACTCAAAACATTCTTGCCATTACTCAGTGTTCCTATGAAGAAAACATGCTGATGCGTGGGAAAGGTTCTATTCGTGATCTCTAGCTGTGGTGAGCAAGTTTCCTGAAGTGTGTATTTTCTCTCCTGTCCACCAAACTGATGGCCCGTGATTGGACCCTGCTGATGCTGTTATCCTGTATTGTTTATTAATAGCCTACCTAGATGCCTGTATAAGTACAAAGCATAAGGAAACAGATTCCTATAGGTCGAGTCATACTTTGGCAAACAGATGAGTAATTTTTTTAGTAACATCTGAAAACGTATTAAGCCTTCCTACATAAACTTTAAGGTTTCTATACTGCGGCTTTATAACTAGCGCACTGTAAGTGTAAGTATTTATATTTGTAACTAACCCCAGGCAGGGATCTCAGCTTCTTTAGGAATAAGGCACAAGTAGTAAAGTATTTTCTGCAGCCGTTATTTCCTCAGTCCTTCAAACTAAAAAAAAGTACAAATAACCTAAGGCCGAACTTGCACTCTTATGTATGAACCAAGACATCCCTTTAGGTGACGAGACTCTACAACCGTGGTGGCCTGTCTCTATGCTAGAGTTGAGGAGAAGCATCATTTTTTGGGGGGGGCCTCGAGAAATTTCAAATGTCCAAATTAAAACAAAGTAGCATTTGAACCTTGACCTTACCATCTTTTCAAGTAAATGTCGAGTTGATTTATCTACTAAATAATAGAGACCTCAGTTTCTCACTACCATTTTAAATAACTTTTACGCTAGTAAAATCAGGTAGGAAATCACCCAGTAGTCATTACTACCTTTTACTGCACAATTCACAAGCAGTTTTCCCTGCTGAATTGGAGTGAAACTTCCATTAGGACAACTTTGCCTTTTATCCCAACTTTCACCAGAAAGCAGAAAAATGCTCTATTTTTATAAAAAAAAAGATTAAATTCTCCAAAGATATTTTTTAAAATATCAACCTCTATGCACTTTAGAATGTAAAATAACAGTGACTATTTTAAACTCAAAGACCCACTATTTTATTTTTTATAGACTTAGTCTTTCCATGTAAATATCGAGTTTTTTCCTCGTTCAATCTCAGGCTTTTCTCCATCTTGTAAGCAGCCTCTGTAACTCACTTTTGTCCATAGGTGTTGAGTGCCTCTCATCTGTGGGGCAGTATTTAATAAAATTTATGTTACAGGATAACTTTAATGGGTGGGGGCTTGTCTATACACAAAGGTATGTATATTTTCATTGTAAAAAAAAAAAAAAAAATTTAAACTTTTTCTTCGTTGTGTTAATTGTTTAAATTTTTTCTAGAGCCAAAGCTCTTTAAAGTTGTTTCTTCCAAAGAACGAAGCCAGGTTAACAACATTCAGTTCTAAATGATATATTGGAATTGTGCCTTTTCTACCACACTGGACTAAATAAACTTGTCAAAATCTAGTTTTGTCATTTTTCTGAGACACTTGGCAATTTGCTGCTCTTTCTTTCTGTGCCCCTGTTTGTTAGTACATCGGGCCAACGGACCACCTGGAACAGGGAGGCTTTACGTTAGTAGAAAAGCAGGTAGAGAAACTGGAATTCCTCTTCTCCTCGGCTCAGGTCTTTGCTTTTAATATGTGCATATAAAATAGTAGGCATTTGATTCTGCAAAGGCACTAAACTACGTGGATTAAACATTCCGTCCAGAGGGATAAGACCAGGTTTTCCTTTTCCTCATCTGTAGTAAGTTTCAGGTCCTTGACAGAAATAGCCGAACTGTTCCAAATCTGCTTCAGTGCATCCAAATGTGACAAAGGAAAGCGAAGTCCATGAGACTGAAAACGGATAAATTAATTAGTCAAAACATACGTATACTACTTTATGTCACTGAACTGGCATTTTCCTGTAAATTTATTCTCAATACATCATTATTTTTGATACCCTTTCATGAGTATTTTAGATGATACACTACCATTTGATAACATAAAAGATGCCAACGTCTATAATAAAAGGCATCCTAATTTATGTAGTAAGTGATATTAGTCATTTGAAATGCCTTACATTATACCATTCCTCTAAGGCTACAGGTCCCAGCTAGTATGTTTTAAAACTGGTATGCTTGTATCACAGAAGTGTCTGACTTAATCATTCCCATGCTAGAACTCTGTGAGTAGTGCAAAATGGTAAGTCCACACTGCAGCCATAAAAAGCATATTACTGGGCCCGGGCGCGGTGGCTCAAGCCTGTAATCCCAGCACTTTGGGAGGCCGAGGCGGGTGGATCACGAGGTCGAGAGATCGAGACCATCCTGGTCAACGTGGTGAAACCCCGTCTCTACTAAAAATACAAAACATTAGCTGGGCGTGGTGGCACGTGCCTGTGATCCCAGCTACTCAGGAGGCTGAGGCAGGAGAATTGCCTGAACCCGGGAGGCGGAGGTTGCGGTGAGCCGAGATCGCGCCATTGCACTCCAGCCTGGGTAACGAGAGCGAAACTCCGTCTCAAAAACAAGCATATGACCTAGAGATCAAAAATAATCCGTTCTTCCCAGCAACCACCCACATCACGGGAAAGACATTTGTTTTCAGCTGGAACAAACCTCTGATCCCTCCTCGTATCCCATCATGTGTGTCTCTCTCCTATTCTTTAAGGAATGATAGATGTAAACCATCTTTTCTTGAGCTTCATCCTTTGGGGGGAAAAAATGCATTAGGGCCATCATTGAGGGTGTCAGTACTAGGAAGGTTCCCCAATAGGTCAACACCAAGAAAAGTCTTAAAAGCCTTAAAAGTGCTCAAGTGAAATGTATTGAATACTGGAAAGAATCCTTTTGGCAAAACGTGATGGGTGTGTGCATCCACACAACGTCTATACTTCATTAGTCACCACAGGTTACTATTTGTATGTGGCAATTAATGGGCATTCTAAGTTGTTAAAACGGCTGGAGTCCTCTCTGGAAGAGCATCTTCAAGGATTTAATGAAAAAGCAATGATTTATGTATCGACTTATCAATGAAATGATCAGTTTCTTTTTAATCATACCTGCACTCTCTTTTTTCAATCAAAAAAATCGGACATTCCTAGGTATAAACTGACAATTTATGAACATCACGAAGGCATTAACTCCTGAGAAATACCAGCTGTGTGATCTAGAAAAAACTCCATTTCAGGCCGGGCGCGGTGGCTCAAGCTTGTAATCCCAGCACTTTGGGAGGCCGAGGCGGGTGGATCACGAGGTCGAGAGATCGAGACCATCCTGGTCAACATGGTGAAACCCCGTCTCTACTAAAAATACAAAAATTAGCTGGGCGTGGTGGCGCGTGCCTGTAATCCCAGCTACTCAGGAGGCTGAGGCAGGAGAATTGCCTGAACCCAGGAGGCGGAGGTTGCGGTGAGCCGAGATCGTGCCATTGCACGCCAGCCTGGGTAACAAGAGCGAAACTCCGTCTCAAAAAAAAAAAAAACAAAAAACAAAAAAAAAAAACTCCATTTCAATTACAGGACGCTTTCCTCCAAAATGGTCCCTACCTCCCTTCACTCCCCCTTTTACACAGTGCAATGTATCGTCTCTTCCAGAGCCTTTAGCCATTCTTTGTCACCTCTTAAATAAAGGCAATAAAATCTTAGCCTAGTGTACTATGTCTCAAATTGGTTATCAGAATTAAAAAAAAAAAAACAGGAATGTAAGAATGTGTACTTTTGAGGGATATATGTGTGTGTGTGTAAATTCCAAATCTGGCCCTGATGGCCGGAACAATCTGGTTACAGGGAAAAGCCGAGTGCCCCTCAACTCCTTGATCATTCATGGGATACCTCCTCAGAGAGCCGATGAGGAGGAATGGGGTGAAGCTAGATGGTACGCGATTGTTTCAAGGTCCTTAGGACTGTGTGGGGAGCTCTATGAAAACTTAAATGCAAAGGGTCCAAGACCAGATGAAGTCCAGGAATTTTTCATTTTAAAAAGCTTTCCAGTTGACTCTATGATCAGTTAGCCAGTTTAGGGAATGGCCGGGCTAGGTGGCAAAGTTCCAGAACGCAGACTTCTCCATAATTTACAGGACAGCGTTTAAGGGGACGCAATATCCACAAAACCACACAGAAAGACGGATGTGCGCAGTGTGGAGGATTGAGGCTGGGAAACGCAGGAATGAGGTCTGTGGCTGTCCGAGCAAGAACAATAAGGCCTGAAGTAGGATGGGAAGCCAAGACCAGACATTAATCACCACATAAAGGGAATGAAGGAAGATTCTGTGGGGATGACGGCAGGAAAATACGGAACTGCAACTGTGCGATCTGGTCATCAGCTGACCCGAAGAAAAGGCAGTAAACCGAATGCAGGTGGGTTCCTAGAAGGAGAAGGGCAGAGACCAGTGGTTGGTTTGATAACCTGAGGCCTCTGGTGAAAACTACCCTGAGAAGAAAGGCAATCTCCTCCCTCTTGGATACTCACAGATTGATCCTGATCTGGGAATACTGTGAGGACAATGTGGTCTTTAAACTGCAGTCTCACGACACTGTCCAGCCTCGGTAACTTTCCACCTAGAAGATCCCAAAGAGAGAGAGCTGGCCTTCAAAAAAGGAAACGGGCAGATGCAAACTTGCTTACAGACACGATCACATAGGAAACACATTTACTAACAATTTACAGCTAACTCCAGACAGGGCACGCTCTCCAGCTGAAGAATTTGCTCACCCCAACACTGCACTGACATCATAGTTCACACCGGCATGGAGCTCATTCTTACAGTGAAGACAGACATAGAATCAGATAAATAATAATGTAAGTTTGGAAGCACAATAAATGGATAACAGTAATAGCATCAAAGCACAGTAGCTAACACAGCATGGGAGACTGTGCTGCCTTCTGCACAGAACACTCATTCCACAGTTTCTGTCCTCGACAAGCTTCTTGCTCAACATGTGGATTCTGGAAGAGCTACCTGAGACCAAAATTGCTCTACTCCACCAATAACTAGGTGTGAGGCCCTGGTAAATTCTTCAGTCTTTGTAGGTCAAGCATGGTATCCTATAAAAGCCATGTAATAAAGTCCACAGAGAAAAAAAAATTTTTCTTCCAAATTGGATTTAACTTCGTGGAACAGTAGCCACTAAAAACAGGTTAGCTTTACGAGGTCATCCAAGCAGGGAGAGTCACTTTAGTGACTACAGTAGCTAAGACAGGGATAACTCTGAAGTAGTCTGGGCCATAAGCTGGTGTTCCAGCAAACTGTTCTGCTAAAGATTTAACAATGCAGTTGTAAAACATTGACTATTTTGAATAGATGCAATCAAAAACAAATTCTAAGCTTCCTCCAAAGACTATAATAAAAGTGAACATACAATCAGTGTTGGAAGGGACCTTACAGATTATCTATCTCAGTGGTTCTCACTTGGTCATAATAAAGAATTTTATAAAAATTAGTAAGAAATATTCTTTTCAGCTGGGCGTGGTGGCTCACACCTGTAATCCCAGCACTTTGGAAGCCCGAAGCGGGCGGATCATGAGGTCAAGAGATGGAGACCATCCTGGCCAACATGGCGAAACCCCGTCTCTACTAAAAATACAAAAAATTAGCTGGGTGCAGTGACGCGCGCCTGTAGTCCCAGCTACTCGGGAGGCTGAGGCAGGAGAATTGCTTGAACCTGGGAGGCGGAGGTTGCGGTGAGCCGAGATTGTGCCACTGTGCTCCATCCTGGCACCTGAACAAGACTGTCTCCAAAAAAGAAAAAAAAGAAGAACTATTCCCTTCACTCAACCCTGAGAACCCACAGCAGCCAAAAAGCCGGTCTGGCAGGTCCCAGCTAGGTCTTGGTGCTGTCCTGGTAAACATAGGCAATTCCATAGAATACTAACATCAGGGATCACTCTGTGACCATCATAGGTCAAGACAAAACACCACCACTCCATACATACTCACGTCTGAACTCGGGCAAGGTAAGAACATATTCCAAACCACAACACTGACCAAGCATCCCCCTAGTCTGGCTAATGAATGGCTGCTTCGGCTTTACCACTGGTAACTTCAGCCTCATACCCTGCTCCTGCCTACCACATAACGTTTAGGAGACTTCATCACAGAATCCTTCCGTTTTCTGACATCAGTCCAGAGCAAAGCCCTGCTTCCTTGAACCCTCTCCAATGCCACCTAACTTACGCCTAAGTCCTGTCAATGTTTTCCAGCACCGTTTCCTGAGATGCCCTGTGGTCCCCAACGGTATGTGGTCTTCCCACTGCAGCAAGTCAATACGTCCGACTGTTGTCTGATTTCAGGAGTACACTCTTGGTGATCTTTGCTATAGGACATTGACATATCCATCTGGAAGTCATCAATGACACCCAGAAGTATGTTTTATCATGTGCAGCCTAAACCTAATTTGTCATAAATTAGGCACCTGTAACTTGGAGAAGGTTGATGATAATCTTGGCCGTTTCTTGAATCTCACTGGCTGATGGTAACCATTTTACCCACGCTATGATTGGGATGTTTGTCCAAATCTCATGTTCGCATTTGATCCCCAGTGTGGGGTGCAGCCTAAGGGGAGGTGTTTGGGTCACACTGCAGGAAGCAGATCCCTCATGAAGAGATAAGTTCCCTCGGGTGGGGGTCAGTGAGTGAATTCTTGCTCCACTAGTTCCCACGAGAGCTGGGGTTAAAAAGGGCCTGGCATTCTCCTCGCTCTTGCTTCCTCTCTCACCACGTGTTGGGGAAATGCCGGCTCCCTTTCCCCCTCAACTGTGAGTAGCCTGAGGTTTTCTCCAAACGCAGATGCCAGTACCATGCTTCTTGTACAGCCTGCAGAACCATGAACCAAACAAACTTCTATATAAATTACCCAGCCTCAGGTATTCCTTTAAGCCACACAAACACCCATCCCTGACTTAATTCCAACAAGGTTATTTTGATGTTCAAATTTGTAAAATTTCTCAAAGACTACGAATACCACAGTACCTACAAATAGACGCATTTCTCACCCAAAAGGACAGGGCTCTTATTTCCCATCATGCTGGAATACAAGTTCTCTGCAAATGACTTCTAAGAGGCAGGGTGCTACAGGATGAGGGCAGCACATCCCGCCCGGCCGTATTTACTAAGGATGGATAGGTCCGCATTAACACAAAAGCACTTCACACTTTCCATCTGTTCAAAGACAAGCCTACCTAGAAAAACCTCAAACCTCCCACGTTAGCCTCTGACCACCCATAAGAAAGCAGCAAGCTCCACCTGGTGTTGACAGCTCAGCTCCATCTCCCGCAGAGTACGGGGGCAGCCTGTGCATAGTAAAATCCTTCTTCATGTCTGAGGAAAGCAGTGCTTTGGTGCCCTCCAGCCGGTCTGCAAGCATCCTCAGGAAGCCACTTAATTGTCTTGTTGCAACAGCTGTGGATTCCACCTGCTGGAAACACAGAGGTGAGTCCTGGCCCAGATGCCCAGCAGAACTCACTGCCCAGCTCGGTCTCCACAGTAGGCTGCAAAACTGCCAACCAGCTGGTATAGACATTAACACATGTCACTCCAAAGCGGAAGAGGCAACCTGAGCCCCTAAGAATCTCTCATCATTTCCTTATAAACGCTGTTCATTCTAAGCTGCCTATTGTTTGCAAAACATTTTCAGAATTTTGCCTAGAAATAGAGATCCTTGGAAATATGGTACAGCCTGAGCCCTGCCTTTTGGGAAACGAGTCACTGTCCTAAGATGAACGCTTCTGACAGAGAAAGCAACCTTCGCTGGACTCAGCACTCATCCACTCATCTCGAAACTAATCAAATAGCATTCCCGTTTCAAAATGTCATGAAAGAACAGGAAAGCCGACATATACGCCGAGGCCAGGATCTCCAGTACGGTGGGTCTCTCTTAACGAGTCATCTTACGGGTGCTAAATCTACAGTTCTCCTGGCTGTACTAGTCATTCAACCAACATTCTCACGCTGCCTGCTGCTGCCGCTGTGAAACACAGAGCTACCCATACAGCATCACAGTTCTTCTGATCACACGGGACTCCGTTCATTCTCCAAGTCACACAGCTCAGCAGCAGCACAGGAGACAAGCCTGGCTCATGTGGGAAGAAGTCTCCTGGGGTCCTTAAGGTAGGACTTCAGCTGGCCTGGGCTGCAGCTACCATCCTTCATTCCTACCTGTCTACTCACCAGGAGCAGCTGCCGGGGTATGCCAGCCCGTAACTCCACGCCTTCCTTTGCGGTATCGAATACAAGCCCTGGGATGGTATCCAAAAGGAAGTCTCCCCATGAACTAGGATATGCACCAAGTGGGGGGAAAAAAAGGCCGAAACCGTGAACACATACAAAATATACATAAAATACTCATTACTAGTCAAGCCAAGAGCTACAAATTGGATGACGGCTTCCCTGTTCAGGCATTTCTGAGTTCCATTCATTGGACGTTACTCAGCATGGAAATCTAAGACCTTCATCAACCCCCCTGCTTCGTCCCTCCCCAGTCCAGACACTCGCTTGCAAAGTTAAGCGGGCAGCTAGGCTTCAATACGGATTTCTCTTAAAAGTTCTCAGAAAAATCATCATAGACTTCGTAAAACGGGAAGTTCAACGAACCCAATTTTTAACAACGGTGTCTATGAGGGAAGATTTGCACGAAATTTACACAGTCGTTATAGGACCTAAAACCACATTTTATATGCAATAAATGTAACAGAAAGTTAGGGTAACAGCAAGATCTCTGGACTGCGTAATTATTTGAACCCTTGTATGTTACGTTTTCCTTGTCACAACAAGGGATGCTACTCCTGAATATCTACCATCAATAATTCTAAAACAATTATTTCTAGCAATGGTTTTACCAGGGGATAGAAGCCAGTGACTAAAAATGACATCTAGGGACCAGCATCCCTATTCAATGACCTTTGCTTTCTCTGGGGTATCTGGAATTGGCTCATTCCCAAGTGTGTGCCGGTTAGAAGCAACACTCTCTGTGGGGAGGCTCTCTTTAAACATTTCTTAGCTATTTAAAATTTTCCTGTGTCACCAGCAGATTTCAGGAATAGGAGGGAGCCAACACCAGTTTGCCGGCTAGTGGAAAGTGGAAATTCACAGTATGACTTTGACCTCTCACTCACTAAGCAAAATTAACACTGTTATGCTTCCCTCCCAGAAAAGTTGCAAAGAAGGACAAAAACCACGTGAGAGACACTTTTCCCAAGACATCTACTACCTGGCGGCCTCACTGCTTTGTGACTTAATGTTATATCCAACCCTGCATATTTTATTGAGTCTTAACCTGGAGGGCACATGCAGCTCTGTCAGCAGCATAAAATACGTACTTCCTCTGCAGGGTTATGTGGGTGGAAGTCAGACAGCAACAGCTCATGGAAGACTTGAGTAGAAGTTAAATAGTGCTCTTCTGGCCAGGCGCGGTGGCTCCCACCTGTAATCCCAGCACTTTGGGAGGCCAAGGTGGGTAGATCACGAGGTCGGGAGGTCAAGACCAGCCTGGCCAAGATGGTGAAACCTGTCTCTACTAAAAATATAAAAATTAGCCAGGTGTGGTGGCATATGCCTCTAATTCCAGCGACTCAGGAGGCTGAACCAAAGAATTGCTTAAACCTGGGAGGCAGAGGTTGCAGTGAACTGAAATCGTGCCACTGCATTCCAGCCTGGGTGATGGAGCGAGCCTCTGGCTCAAAAAAAAAAAAAAAAAAAAAGTACTCTTCTAAGAATCAGAATAGATACTGGGACTTCCCAAAATTTAGGAATATCTCTAAGGGTTCACTTTGGTAAAACAACCAAATCGATGACACACGGCAAGTCCCCAAAACACCCCAATGATGCTACCCTGACAGGTTTTAGGAGAGGCCCCAAATCTTCACCTTTCTGTGGTACCTGAAGGAGCACTAGGCTCAAAGCACAGGATCATTTCTGGGGGGCAATGATCCTCAAGTCATATCCTCCCATTCTAGCTCCAGCATCACTGACCAAGACACAGGTCAAAATCCAGCCTAGATACATTGATCATGGTGACCACCCAAAGCCCTAAGCAGGAAACATCTATATTTAGAAAGCTCTTCCCCAGCCCCAGCTGAATGGAGAAGAAATGGATAGGCCCCAGGGGCAGCCAGCCAGTCCTTCACTCTTGGGATTGGGAAACAGACAGTCAGGTCCTTAGCAGAAGCAAAAACTAATAGGGTCAGTGAGACAGAGGGAGGTCCGAGCAGTAGCTGGTGATGGCTCTGTGTTAAGAGTAAACAGAAGCTGAAGAAGGAATAGGAGGGAGCAAAACACCAGTCACTAGAAAACCAGTTGGTGGCAGCAAGAGAAATGGAAAAGAGAATTACAGAGAGAGAATAGCTGAGGAGCATTAACAACGGGACGCCAGCAGATGCACGGATGTTCACAGGGCCAAACTATGTGGTCCAGAGCTGCTCTGAATCCAGAATGGACTTCTGATTCCAGCCTCTCTGCAGCCTGGCAATTCCACAGTTTCTAGGATTTACTCCCTCCGATGCCCTTGCTCTTCTTGTGCTGGCTTTGGTGACTGTCTGTCCGTTAAGATGCAAGGAATCTACCTAGCTACAGTGATGAGGGCATTCATGGAAGCCTGATACAAGCTTGGGCCTTTTACTTGTGGGCAAAGATAGCACCAAACTCAGGCCAGGCCTCGGCTAGTTCTTCCAGTGTCTTTTAAACACCGAGGTGAAATTCACACCGAAAAGTCCGATGAAGAAACGGAGGTATGCCTACTAACTTGTTCTGCAAGTTCTGGCCTTGACGGTAAGAGAGGACTTGCTGTCCCTTAGACCTAGAGTGTCCTCTCCTCCGCGGATCTGCTGACCCACCCCTACTTACTCATCCTTTAAGACTCACTCAGCATTGGTGTCAAGTCATTTCTGAAGCCTTCTCTACCGTCCCTACTTAGCCAAATACATTCCTCTATGCTCTAAGGCTTCTCCGCAAACCTACCACAGAATGTATCACACTATCTCTTCTCTCACAACCACTTCCAAAGTATAAGCTCTCTCAAAGCCCCTTCAATTCAATCCTCGAACTCCCAGCAACAAACACAATGTCTAGTACGTATTTGCCTAATGCAAGAGTTCATGACTAGTATTCTTTTCTCCTGAGACAGTATCTCTGTTGCTGAGCCTGGAGTGCAGTGGCATGATCTGGGCTCAGTGCAACCTCCACCCGCCGTGTTCAAGCAATTCTTTTGCCTCAACCTTCCGAGTAGCTAAGATTACAGATGCACGCCACCACTTCTGGCTAATTTTTGTATTTTTTGGTAGAAATGGGGGTTCGCCATGTTGGCCAGGCTGGTCTCAAACTTCTGACCTCAAGCAATCCGCCTGCCTTGGCCTCCCACCATGCTAGGATTACACACGTGAGCCACCACGCCTGGCCATGAGTAGTCGTTTTAAACATGATTTGGACCAGCAAGGCTGCTGCTTTGGGGAAGCACCGCCACCCAGTGAGGAGGCGCTAGCTGAAATGAAACATGAAGTGCGGTCAGCATGTGCATTTCAGTTCCGCTCTTCCAGACTGCCTGGCCTCCTTTAATTTCACCGACTGTAAAAAGAGAAACCCTTAAGAGACCAAGAGATTTCCATGGGCAGAATTTCTGTTGGAATGAAAATGTTTTAGAAATGGACAGTGGTGGCCAGGTGCGGTGGCTCAAGCCTGTAATCCCAGCACTTTGGGAGGCCGAGGCGGGTGGATCACGAGGTCAAGAGATCGAGACCATCCTGGTCAACATGGTGAAACCCCGTCTCTACTAAAAATACAAAAAATCAGCTGGGCATGGTGGCGCGTGCCTGTAATCCCAGCTACTCAGGAGGCTGAGGCAGGAGAATTGCCTGAACCCAGGAGGTGGAGGTTGCGGTGAGCCGAGATCGCGCCATTGCACTCCAGCCTGGGTAACAAGAGCTAAACTCTGTCTCAAAAAAAAAAAAAAAAAAGAAATGAACAGTGGTGATGGTTGCACAAGAGCGTGAATGTAATTAATGTCAAACTATGTATGCTTCAAAATGTTTAAAAATGGCGTATTTTCAAGGTGGGTGGATCACAAGGTCAAGAGATCGAGACCATCCTGGTCAACACGGTGAAACCCCGTCTCTACTAAAAATACAAAAAAAAATTAGGTGGGCACGTGCCTGTAATCCCAGCTACTCAGGAGGCTGAGGCAGGAGAATTGCCTGAACCCAGGAGGCGGAGGTTACGGTGAGCCGAGATCGCGCCATTGCACTCCAACCTGGGTAACAAGAGCGAAACTCCGTCTCCAAAAAAAAAAAAAAAAAAAAAAAAATGGCGTATTTTATGTTATATATATTTTATCATATTTAAACAAAAGAGGAAGTCCGACCCCAGCCTGGCATCACTGACACACTGACACACCCACAGCTAGTCACTTTGTTTCCAAACTATAGGACTCTCTATTTGGGCAATGCCTCATGTCCTACATAGAGTCAGGTTCATGATGTCCCCAGGAGCAAGTCTGGAGGGGCCAGTCACACACATGGGATATTAAAGGAATGTGGAAGCCAGCAAAGGACACAGAAACCCTGGGGTTTGCATGGGAAGCAGGGGCCGACTCCCTCCTGTCCCTCGTGAACATGGCTGCTGTGGGCCAGGACTCGGAGCCGCCCTTGCACGTGCGGCCCGGAGCCAGTGCTTACTTGTTCTGGTAGGTGCTGATGGTCACGTGCGTCGAGTGGGCCAGCCCCGCAGGAGTGTCCGCCTGATGAATGGTTCCTCTGGGGAAGTACAACAGATCACCTGGCTAAAGGAAGGAACAGGCAAGGGGAGAGAAGTGGGTAACGAGTATTCCCTGTCAGTCCTCTTTATTTCAAGGAGATACGTATGGACTCTGCGTCTCAGTTCTCCATCCTAGAAACTGCCATCTAGTCTGTATGCTGGGCTCACGTGTCTGTGTCCGTGAGCCTGTCACTGTGAACCACAATCCACGAGAGGCTCAGTGCCGGAAGTCACTTTCTTTTCCTTCTCGAGCTGAGACCAGACTCACCTGAAGCCACCCCGCCCTGACGTAGGGGTCAAGGAAGGTGACGGCCTGTGTCTGGGGAGCCCGCGTCCTCCCGCTTGCACGCTTCAGTGGTTGAGAGTAGGAGCTTTCCTTTAGAGTCACACAGACACTGCCGCTCACTGGCCGCTCATCTGGCAACGGACTTACCTGCCCCAAACCTCAGTTTCTTCATATGTAAAATGAAGGTCATAGCCCCAGACCTCACAGGATTAGCTTGAGGATTAGAGATGCTGCTTCCAAAGCTCTTAGGGCAATGATGGGCATGTGACTGAACTGTATTATTTTACCTGCCAGTCCCCCACCTTCTGATAATTTCTGAGTACTTCTAGGTAGGGTCTGTATTTGCCCATCTTGCCTTCCCCAGAACCTAGCACCTAGCAAAGCACCTAGCACTCAACACAGGCTCAATGAATGTTGGGATGAATGGGTGAAAAACTATACAATCCTTATTTAAACTAAAAATCAGATGTAATCAAAGATCCATCATTTTCTCGGGCAGCTGAATCTCCTCCACCCTATTCCAAGTGAGTGGATTAAAACATTCTCCCTAAATTACTCCTGCCCGGAGCTACCTGCTTCGTAATCCCCCTAAAGCCAAAACATTCCATACAGCGGCTACCCACAGAGAAAAGAGGGAATCTTGAGGGTAGCTCATCTTCTCTCTGCAGCTACAAGCAGCAGTCTAGTGCAATGTTTAAGACCATGAGCCCTGGCGAAAGAGCTCAAGAAACATCAACTTTTAAAAAATGTTTAAGATTCTCCTCAAAGCAAGACTATATCATGATATATATTCATAAAAGCTATCCTGGTTGCAAATTTCCTCTGAATGCCGGCAAACTGACAGTACTTCAAGTGATAATTATAACTATCACTTACTGAGTGTGTCTGTGCCAGCCCGAGTGACACTCTCACATATACAGTCACATGTCACTTAACAATGGGGTTATGTTCTGAGAAAAGTAATTTTGTCACTGTGCAAACATCAAACTGTACTTACAAATCTAGGTAGATGGCCTGCTCCCTAGATTACATGGTATAGCCTATTGCTCCCAGGCTCCAAATCTATTCAGCACGTGACTGCACTCAATAGACAACTGTAACAACATGGTGTTTATGTACTTAAATGTACCTCAACAAGGACAAGTGAAAATACAGTATAAACAACAAAAAGTGGAACAACTACATAGGACTGGAATTCACTCTGGGCGAGTCCGTCAGTGATGGTATATGAATGTGGAAGCCGAGGGACCCACTGTACATTTTTATACGACTAGCAGAGAAGTAGGGCTGTTTACACCAGCATCACCATAAACACGTGAGTAATGAGTAGCACTACAACGTTTTACAATGGCCACGATAATGCTACGTGATAGGAATTTTTCAGTTTCATTATGACCTTATGGGAGAACTGTCACATCCACAGTCTGTTGTTGACTAAAATGTCAAGTGGCACATGGCTGTGTTTCATTCATTTCATACACACGTGCCCCGCCATCCTGGCTGAAGAGGCAAGTAAACATTCTCCCCTGCAGCCTTCTGAAAGAATGCGGTACAGCCACCCGAGTGAGACCCTTTAGACTCCTGACCTCCAGAGGCATAAGATAATGAATTTATGTTGTTTTAAACCACTGAGTTTGTGGTCATTTGACAAGTAGCAATGGCAAAACTAAGACAGACATACAGATATTTCCTCTAAAGAATTTTATTTTAAAGGAGGCACCAAAATAATATGGTTCAACCCTCATAGCCTGCAAGGTAAATATCATGATCTCCATTTTAATAAAGAGGAAACTGGGACTGGGATGAATGACTTGACCAAAGACATGTGGCTAAGAAGTGGTTGAATCCAAACTCAGATCTGTCAGATCCCTGAGCCACAGAGCGGAGCTTCCATCACAGGAGTGATCTCATCCTGAGAGCCTGGGTCTGCAGATGACCTGCACAGGACGCCACCGGTGTAAAGGAAAGAGGCAGATAAGGGCTCCGGGATCCCCACCGTCACTCTCCCATGCCCACCACCGCCCTGCCCTCCGCCACAGCCACGAAGTCCATTTCATCTTTGGGCACTGAAACAAGATTTCGCTCAAGAGGCCCGCTGGGTACAAGCTCACACGTGCATACCCATACACACTTCAACAACCCTGCACAACACGGTCTTTCTCCTTCCAGGAGATTCAGGGCGTCTCTTATGAACTATGTGTCCACGGAGTATTTAGTGGGCGTGGCAACAATATGAAGAGTCCACATCCTGTACACTTAAAGGCCACCGTGAAGCCTGACCTTCTCCGGCAGAGCAAGTAGCCAGCTCATCAGCCTGAGTATCTCGGCCCTGACCTCCGAGACCATACATGGCTTAGTCTTTAAAGATAACCAACCATGAATCTCTACAAACCAACAAAAGCAGAAGCTGGCAGACTCTGTGAAGAGCCAAACGTAAAAACAACACATAATTTTGGTTTGTGGGCCATGTGATCTCTGTGGCAACCAGTCCGCTCAGCTGGGGTAGCATCAACACAGTACGTTAAAGAATGGGAGTGGCTGTGTTCCAATAAACTATTTACAAAAACAGGCAGCAGGCCAGATTTTCTGGCCCATGGGCCATAGTTTCATGACCACTGACTAAAAGTATAAAAACCAGTAAGGTTACCTTTACTGTTGTTTATTTGAGTCTCCGATAATACAGTCACCCACCTTAAAAAGCGAGTTTGCTTCCCTTGGTTACTAGGAAGCAGGCAAGGATTTTAAAATCCAAAAACACACAAAGCATTGAGTAAGAAACAGACTAATTACAACTTTGAGACACAAGAAAAACAATAAGTATATGCAGATGTGTTGGGTTGGTAGATTCTTTAGAATGGTTGAAAATAACTATTGTTTTATTGCTAAAGGAAATTAAATTACATGTTTTAAGAAAGAATATAAGATTGAATTACGAAACTACTCCTATCCCCCTACGGTTTTCCTCGACGACCTCTCCCACCGGGGATTGGCTACGTTCCCATCGAGGTTCACTGCTCAAAGACAGATTTTCTCAGCAGCAAGATGTCAAGGAACTTGCACATGATCAAGCCACCAGAATCCCCGAAGAAGGAATCCTCAGAGCCTTCCTGATTACTACTGTTCTGATAACTGTATGTGGCCAGGTACAGAGACAGTCTGCCATATAACCAGAATAAAAATAAGTCACACTGGAATTTGAATAACTACAAAACTAAGGGATCCATGGCTATGTTCTGCCTAAGCAACTTCCAGCCCTGTGCTGACCATCGTCTTTGGTGTGGAGAAGCTGCCCAAGGCCAGCATTTCCATTTCTCCTCTAGAGTCAGTGGTTCACTGAATTCTCTTTCTTCCTGTTGAACTTGAACTGTACATGAAGACAGCTTATTTGGGAAGTGAACTTAATACTTCCTTAGCTCACTTCTCCAAGTGCAAACCAAGACACCTTCAGAAATTGCATGTGCTGGCTGATGGCAATGAGAGCCACCCTGCCCTGAGACCCGGGGACACATTCCCACGGGGACCATCACACGAACTCCAAACCTTGAGCCTGAACTTGTCTTAGCAACAGAGAAAACCACGATCCTCCCACATGAGGTGCCCACAATGACCACCACATACCTTCAGTGTAAACTCATGCGTCGGCCTGCCGATCCTTTCCTCGGCCTCCACGCTGTACTCTCGTGCCAGGGGGACGGTGGGGTGGTAGAGGCGCCAGTGTTTCTCTCCCTCCAGCTGCAGGATGAAAACCTAGAGATCCACAAGGCCCAGGAGCATCAGAGAGCTTCATGACAACTCACAAAGTGCTTCTGGAATGTTAGCCCTCTAAGGGCTCAGATGAATACTATAGGTGAACCTTGAGCAATACAGGCTTTTTTTTTCTTTTTTAAAGACAGTCTCCTTCTGCTGCCCAGGCTGGAATGCAGTGCCACAGTTACAGCTCACTGCAGCCTCTCAAACTCCTGGGCTCCAAAAATCCTCTTGCCCCAGCTGCCCGCATAGCTGGGAAGCTGGCACACACCACAGTACTCAGTTAATTTCTTTATCTTTTTTCTAGAGATGGGGTGTCACTTTGTTGCCCAGGCTGGTCTCGAACTCCTGGCTTTAAGCAACCCTCTCGCCTCGGTCTCCCAAAGTGACTGCAGGCATGAGCCACAGCGCCTGGCCTAACGACCTGGGAGTGAACTGTGCAGGTCTGCTTATATGCTGATTTTTTTCAATAAATACGGGAAAATTTGGGGGAGATTTGCAACAATTTGAAAAAAATGAAACATATCAAAAGAATTAGGAATGGCAGAAATGCATCAAATATAGAAACCTATGTAGATACTAGTCTATCATCTACTACCATAAAATACACACAAATTATAAAAGGTTAAAATTTATCAAAACTTACCCATACAAATACTTCCAGACAATACATGGCACCATTTGCAGTCAAGAAATGTAAACGAACTTAAGACGCAATATGGAATAGCTACATAAAATTAACTGTAGTACTACCATAATAATTTTGTGCTACCTCCTATTGCCATTGCATGAACTCAGGTGTGATACTCATTATCGCCACGTGAGCAGTTCCTCTCTCCAGTGCATTGGGTATCACAGTAAGAAGTGATCTCTCCCAGTTCTGGTGTATTTTTCATCACGTTTAGTGCAACACCTTAAACCTTGAATAACACCGAGGGACCCACAGGAAGAACCACTAGTACTCCTGCAAGTCCTCCTGAGAAGCAGAAAAAGGTCCTAACAGTAGAAGACAATGTTGCATCGCTTGATGTGTACTGTGGATTGCTGCCCACCATTTCAGATGGATTTAGCTTGTAAACAAATGATTGAAACTTACAGTATTGACACAGCACAGTACTGTCTTTTCTCTTTCTAGTTTTCTTAATAACTTTTCTCCAGATTACTTTATTGAAGAATGAAGTATATTACACATATAATATACACAATAGGTGTGAACCAACGTATGCTATCGGTAAGGTATCCAGCCGACAGTAGGCTACTAGTAGGTAAGTTTTGGGGGAGTCCAAAGTTGCAAGCGGATTTCTGACTGGACAAGGTGCTGGCACCACTAACCCCCAAACTGCTCAAGGGTCAACTGTACAAGGTTAGGATAAAAAATAAAAAATGAGAAATGCATGTCATTCAACACTTACATGAAAGTTGCCACTACTGGATTTTATTTTTAAAAACAGGGAATCATGAATCCTGACACTGGATATTTATTCTTTTCACTTTCTTAGAGCTTCGCTGAGTTCTTTTATATCCCACTATCTCATTCCTTTAAATCTTCTATCAGACAGCTGAAAGCCCATCATCTCCGATGGAAAAGCCAAGCTTCAGGTATTACTGAATGTCTAAATCCTGAATGTTGAAAGGGCCTGGGCAGGTAGGAAAACTTCAAGTTTTTTACTCTTTATTCAGTCAAAGATATTTCAATATTCTATTAAAAAAAAAAACATTAAAAATAACATTTTGGGAAAATGTATTGATGTCAAATTGCTACCAAAGGAGAAAAAGTGGACTTCTTACTAACAATTCTGTGTTTACACCTTATATTAGTACAAAAATAAAATTACTAAGCCAAACAGTTAAATTTTTTTTGGAAGCCACATCAGACTGAAATCAATACTTGTCAAGATGCCAATGCTTAAATGAAACCATGACCCTCATTCAAGCTGCCCCAAGATTTTCACAAATGGAAAATATAGACATAATTTTGGCAGCTACTGAAAAAGAACAAAATGAAAGCAGATGTAAGGATTGCTTGTGCCCTCACCTTATTAAAGACCATACTTTGTTAAATTAAAGGAAAAGCCAATCACACTTTTCTGTAGATATATTCAATAAATGCTTGTTTCAAAGGAATGTATGGCTGTTTAAATTAGTAAGGGTGGAAACCATCTCACCCTTTGAGACGAAGTGGGAAACCAGTTTAGTGGGATTTACTTTGGATTTACTTCTGTACAGTGTCTGGAGATACGGATTTCCTCTAAATGAAATCAGTATCTCCAGACACTGTATAGAAAGAGCAAAGACAGATCTAAGAGCTTTAGAGAATAATGTGAACTCACCCTGACAACTATCCAAAACCAGGCTAAGCAACTCATTCTTCCCAATATGGGGCAGTTTTCTCCTCTCTTACCTCAACATCGTCATAATGCGGTGGGAGGCCCTGCGATCCTGCAGGAGTTATGTACACATTCGAGCCAACCAAGGAGCCAAAGTAACACTCCAGCTTCTCCTGGATCCTCCAAAGCTCATCCTTTACAGAAAAGGAAACAGAAAGGGGGGAAGCGAAAAATGTATTAGAAATAAGAGCACGTCATTCACTTAGGAAGTCTTTAGTGCACAACTATTATACAGATGCCAGATACTGGAAATTAAGCAATGATAGAGCCAATACCCGAGACCTCAAAAATCTTCCATTCCAGGGCAGAAACGCCATAGAACAGACGTAAGCAGATAAAGGGGAGACTCAGGAGGCAGGCGCCTGGGAGTCAGGAGGATTGAAGCAGGGAAGGATCCAACCCAGCTGACATTTCTGAAAGCTCACCCTGGCTACTGTATGAAGAACACACTGTAGAAGAGTGGAGGTCAGAGAAACTAGTGAGGAAGCTTCTCAGGCAGCAGCTCTAGTGAGAAGTGACTGGGGTGGCAGGAAAGGCGTGGGACGCGCTCTGCAGTGGCACAGACAGGACGTGCTGATGGACTCAATGTAAAGCAGAGGCGTAAAAAAATACTCCTGGGTTTTTGACTTGGGCAATCAGTTCCCCCTTCCACTGAATGAGATGGGAACGACTTGCTAAAAAAAACTTTTCAGGACAAAAAGAAATTTCATATGAGGAATGTTAAGTTTGCGATGCTGAGACCATCCCCCCATGGAAACGTCTTTAAGTCAGTCAGAAGTTCTGGCAGAAACTAAGGACTGAAGATTTACACTTGCGAATTGCCTACACAAAATGGATATTTAAAGCAATGGGAACATAAATGATAACACAGAAACAAGTTACAGAGAAGGAATAACAGGCTGGGTAATGTTCCCTCTCTCCACCAGTCAACTCTTCAGAGCAGACATCAGACTGAGGGGCCTCGAAATGGCCCATATGTTCCCATGAGAGAGAAAGAAGCCTGAGTTTGCCGAGGCTGATGCGGAAGGGGAGGGGCAATCAGGCCATGTAGATATTAGCACTTTCTGCGTGCCAGGCACTGTCTCCAAGTGCTTTCCACGTACTAATTATGCAACCCTCGTGATAACCCTGCTCATAAAGAGGGTACGATCATTACTTTCAGTTTAAAGAGGGGACTATCATTATCTTCAGTTTATAGATGAGGACTCTGAGGCATGAGAACATGCAACCAGGAAAAGATGGAGTCAGGATTCAAATCCAGGCAGCATGCCTCCAGAGTCCATACCTTTCAGATCATTTATGAAAAGACAAATTACAAAGGACACCAAAGAGACTGAAGTTTTAAACATATGAAGGTACAGTGCCTGACACACACACCCTCTTACAACATATTTAAATATTGGCTGAGCAAACCAATGACCACAACTTGGGAGTCCCTTCTACCACAGGAGTGAAAGAGAATCCACTGTATTAGAAATATCAAGTAAGAAAGAACTGGGAAGAACTGGGTCAATATGAAAAAATACTCATTTTAAGACAAGGTCTTGCTCTGTCAGCCAGGCGGAAGTGCAGTGGTGTGATTACAATCACAGCTCACTGCAGCCTTGACCTCCCAAGCTTAAATGATCCTCCCACCTCAGCTTCCCAAGTAGCTGGGACTGCAGGCGCCTGTCGCTATGCCTAGCTATTTCTTTTTTCTTTTTTTTTTATAGAGATGGGGGTCTCACTTTGTTTCCAAGGCTGGTCTTAAACTCTTGGATTCAAGTGATCCTTCTGCTTTGGCCTCGGAGAGTGCTGGGATTACAGGTGTGAGCCATGGACTCAGCCAAGGACATCCTCATACAGACCACTGGGCTTCTCTATTTACAGATCTCAGACTTCCTACTTAACACAGAAAAAATAATTTAATGTTATCTGAATAGCTCCAGAGAGTTAACGGAGCTCCAAAGGAGCCTGATTTTTTCAGGGAAAGGCCAGCAGGAGCTGGTTCTGTAATTATTTTTATACAGTAACTAGAACCACTAGAAAACCAGGGCCTCTCTCTCTCTCATGGTATGAGAGGTCTTTCGGGACTGTGGAAATAGTTTTAGGGTTCCCAACTATCTGTAACTAATGAATATGCCTCTTTTCTTCTTAAAGGTTATTAAAAATGCTACCAATGGCACAATTTTTCTATTTCACCTGGACCTTTAGCTTCTGAATCTGCCAGCTGTGGCCTACTAGAAAGCGATCTGGAGCCAAACTACCTCGGATCAAGTTATAATTACAGGCAAGGTGACCTCAGTTGTTGATTTTTAAAGATAAAGATATTACCACTCACACTCAAATGCTGTGGTGAACAGCATAAAACAACTTATCACAAATCCTATTTAAATTACAGAGCAGTATAAAAGCAATACTGCTTTACTAACATTGACTCAAGCACAAACAAGGCTCCTGAAACCTGTCTTCTCCTTTACCGCAGGACTCGGTATCTGGAGAGGCCAAGGAGGGCCTGGAATAATGAAAGGGAGAAGGCAAAAGTCTCTGTCCGGGTTGGCTATGAACGCCTCTCTCCATTGACCTAAAGGAGAAGGCGGAAGTCTCTCTCCTGATTGGCTATGATCTCCTCTCTCCATTGACCTAAAGAAGGCGGAAGTCTCTCTCCTGATTGGCTATGATCTCCTCTCTCCATTGACCTAAAGGAGAAGGCGGAAGTCTCTCTCCTGATTGGCTATGATCTCCTCTCTCCATTGACCTAAAGGAGAAGGCGGAAGTCTCTCTCCTGATTGGCTATGATCTCCTCTCTCCATTGACCTAAAGGAGAAGGCGGAAGTCTCTCTCCTGATTGGCTATGATCTCCTCTCTCCATTGACCTAAAGGAGAAGGTGGAAGTCTCTCTCCTGATTGGCTATGACCGCCTCTCTCCATTGACCTAAAGGAGAAGGTGGAAGTCTCTGTCCGGGTTGGCTATGAACGCCTCTCTCCATTGACCTAAAGGAGAAGGCGGAAGTCTCTCTCCTGATTGGCTATGATCTCCTCTCTCCATTGACCTAAAGGAGAAGGCGGAAGTCTCTCTCCGGGTTGACTATGACCGCCTCTCTCCATTAACCTAAAGGAGAAGGCGGAAGTCTCTCTCCTGATTGGCTATGATCTCCTCTCTCCATTGACCTAAAGGAGAAGGCGGAAGTCTCTCTCCAGGTTGGCTATGATCTCCTCTCTCCATTGACCTAAAGGAGAAGGCGGAAGTCTCTCTCCAGGTTGGCTATGATCTCCTCTCTCCATTGACCTAAAGGAGAAGGCAGAAGTCTCTCTCCTGGTTGGCTATGACCGCCTCTCTCCATTAACCTAAAGGAGAAGGTGGCAGTCTCTCTCCTGGTTGACTATGATCTCCTCTCTCCATTGACATAAAGGAGAAGGTGGCAGTCTCTCTCCTGGTTGGCTATGACTGCCTCTCTTCATTGACTTACCCCTCAGAATCAAAACTCAAGGCCATGGTTAAAACAGAAGCCCATGTATATGCCTAATGAAAGGCAGAAGCAAATGTACAAAAAGCCCTACTAAATTTCAGTTTTTACATCTTTCAAAGTATGGTAGGAAAATGCGTTACATTTGGAGTCAGAAACCCTTATCAGCTTGGAATAGCTATGGAAAGGTCACATCAGTAAACTCCAGTTTTTTCACATAGAAAATGGAGTCTACGGCTAGCCACAGTGGCTCACACATGTAATCCCAGCACTTTAGGAGGCTGAGGTGAGCAGATCACAAAGTCAGAAGTTCAAGACCAGCCTGGCCAATATGGTCATACCCCATCTCCACTAAAAAATTTAAAAAATTAGCTGGGCATGGTAGCATGTGCCTGTAGTCCCGGCTACTCAGGAGGCTGAGGCAGGAAAACTGCTTGAACCCAGGAGGTGGAGGTTGTAGTGAGCCAAGATCGTGCCACTGCATTCCAGCCTAAGCCACAGAGCAAGACTGTCAGTCTCAAAAAAAGAAAAGAAAAGAAAAAGAAAATGGAGTCCCCAAAAGCTGCCCAATTTCAAATACCGATTAGAAAGTTCAAAAGTTAAAATATGGCCGAGCACGGTGGCCATATTGGATTCAGTTAGATTCAATATGGCCTTGGGAGGCCGAAGTGGGTGGATCACCTGAGGTCAGGAGTTCAAGACCAGCCTGGCCATTATGGTGAAACCCCATCTTTAAAAAAAAAAAATAATAATAATAATAATAATTAGTTAAAATATATACAATTATTTGGTAAACTCTAGTCTGCTAAGCCAAATGCAAATAATTGTAATAATTCTCTCACCAGAACTGTTAATATATAGATTACCCAAAGCAAATGAAAACAACTTATTATGCCTCCCTGGTTACCTCCTTATTCATTTTTAAACTAACTATACTAATAAGCTGTGCACAGTCTGAGACCCAATGAACAAAGAGCTGCATTCACTCTAACAGTCTCTCAACCTGGCCAGGGATAAACTGCCTCTAGACTTTCTCTATTCTGATGCTATTAGAGAAACACAACACCAAATCTCCTCCTAATGTAGTATTTAGAACTCAGACTCTAGTGTAGGAGGGTGAGCTCCTATGGCTTACAGGTCTCTCCAGTAATGGTGGTAGAGATTTCTTTTAAAAAAGGGCACATCCTAGTCTAGCCTGAGGGTTGAATTTGGGCTGAGAAAGCTCATCCTTCCTGCTTTAATAAACTCAGCCAGAGCCTAGTCAACAAGGTAAAAAGAAACAGGTTCTTTGACACTGGAATCCCAGACGAGGAATGTGCAGGGCTGAAGTGGATGAGCAGAGAAAAGCCCTGGAGGAGATGATTTTTTTTATTTTTTATTTTTTTTGAGACGGAGTTTCGCTCTTGTTACCCAGGCTGGAGTGCGATGGCGCGATCTCGGCTCACCGCAACCTCCACCTCCTGGGTTTGGGCAATTCTCCTGCCTCAGCCTCCTGAGTAGCTGGGATTATAGGCACATGCCACCATGCCCAGCTAATTGTTTGTATGTTTAGTAGAGACGGGGTTTCACCATGTTGACCAGGATGGTCTCGATCTCTTGACCTTGTGATCCATCCGCCTCGGACTCCCAAAGTGCTGGGATTACAGGCTTGAGCCACCGTACCCGGCCGAGATGATTTTAAAGTAGAGAAATTACAACCACAGTGGACACCACACATATGCCAAATATCATCTCTCTGCTGGTCTACAACCAAAGTACACATAATCAAATTCACTTCATTTATGTTTAGAGTTCTCAGGTTTCTAAAAACCACTCTTAAAAGTGCTACTTTTGGTCCAGGACTAATTCAGAGAGAAGCATTTTATCGATGGTATCCATATTTTCTGAATTCAAACCCTAACTTGGTCTGACAAATGATTTGTAAATTCTTTTTGAGTGCCTAGGCCAAAAGGTAAGCATTTCAGGGACACTTCAACTTTGTTGGATTGCTTGTGGAATAACTGGAATCAGGACTTGTCATGAAAAACCTAAGAGTACTTATACTTCATTTAGAGTATGAATAGGTTCAAAACCTTTTAGACAAGGAAAGGGAAGGGCATTCACCATATGAAGACCCAGTGGGATATAACAGGCCACCTCTAATTAAATCACTGGAAACACTATTGGTAACTGATGACAGAGCCCTAGAAGCCATCAATGATGCTAGAATCCATTCCTCTCAATAAAGAGCCGCATAAAGCCCTCTCTTTCTCCTCCCATGCTGCCATTTTGATTTAACAAAGGATTAAGGGGGTTTCTGAACGGAAATAAAAGTTTATCTAAAATTCAGAACAGCCCTCACCTGTTCTGGGCCCTCTGTTGTGAGATAAGATACAGATCTCAAACCTTGAGGAAAACAGATTAGCTCATACTAAATCTGCATTTTATAAATATAGAAACCAAGCATGGAAGAGGCAAATTATTTCCCAAATGTCAATCCCTGATATAGAAAAAAAAAAAATATTTGTCAGTCCTCTCCATTCACAAAGCAAAGATTTCCTCCATCAACGAAGCCTTACCAGGAACAGTTCCAGCACCCTGTACCTTTAAGCCATCCATTTGGGTGTAATTAAGGGTGAAGTCTCTTTATTGAACTTGCATCTAGTCCGTGATCCGGTCATGGCTCTGAAGGCTCTATTTAGATGTAGGCAGTAAAGGGAGGCAACTTTGGGAAAAATGGTCACCTTGAGGCTATCATGCCTTAAATTATAGTGATGTGACAAACCAAATAGAAATGTCCATCATACAGAAAAACATAAACTGGCTCACAGAACATACTTCTGCCGTTGTAATGCAACTTTAATAACTTGAGAAACTTGCAATATAATTGTTTTTACAGCCTGATGACACCCAAGAATGTCTACCCTGAGTCGTTGCAGTTTCTAACAGTTTAACCAAAACATAACACATACTCTTAACCCTAGTTAGAATGCATTTAGATCAAAGAGGTGCCACTCCTTCTCAAACTGGCAGGAGCCTAACCATCATCAAACTACATATTCACCCTTGAGTTGATCTGTGGCCAAATGCTAGTACTTTAAATTGTATGAGGATTCTGCAGTGGGGAAACTAGTTACCTTAAATCTCTGAGGTTGGTGAAACTGAATCGTTGCCCTTTTCTGATCAAAATCTTTTCTCAGCTGAAGAAAGTGTGCTTTGCCATCTTTATTTAAAACCTTCTTCTTCCCACTGACACACCGGCAGACATTCACGTCTCTTCCATAGTACATCCCTCGGCTGCACAGACTCTTCAGATCTGTTAGCTTGAACAGGGACCCGTAGTATGCGGCCAGTGCAGGGTCATCTCTCTGAATGAGAAGGGGCTTCTGCTCCCAGAATTCCTTGAAAAAAGTCTCTGTCTTGATGGGTGAGATTAAACTTTCAAACAGACTACTGGGACTGTCGAAGTTTAAAGCTGAAGGCGCCCCAGCTGCTTCTACTTTCATCTGCTTACAGGGAACTGGCCCCTCTTCCTTCCTACTCCCGGCAGCCTTTGCTTTCTTTGGCATTGTTCTGTCTTCAAGATAAAGCAGTAAGGAAATGCAAACCTATCAAAAGAACAAAACACACATGGTTAGGTTTACAAGGCGTGTCAGCATTGGTGTTAGTGGATCACCCCCACACACAGCTGAATGACCATGACACCTCATGAGAACTCTTCATAGGTCAAAGCTACTTCCCCCAGGATAGGAGACGGCCTTAAGCCAATGCCATTTCTTCTAGGATATGATTCAGCCTCAACTACCACTCAGATGACATATTCGTCTAAAGAAAAAATGTGTTTTCCTTTTACACAAGCACTATGTCATGGTATTCATTATTTATTAGGCAGTATAATTATCTTAGACAAAACTATTCAGCTGTCTCAGCAGTTCCTAGTCGGTTTAGCCTGTGGCCATTGACACGGCAAAATCAAGTGTCTTGGATTTGGCTCCCATCAGCATCAGGGCCCACATCTAATTAGATGTACTCTGAGTTACAAACAATTGACTAGAGAACAGCTAACAGCCACGCACTGCCAGGTGCTCCTCCCCACAGCACCACCCACCTGCTGCGCAGGTCAACCAAGGAGCCCTGGACCCACGGTGCCACCAGGTGGCTGGAGCAGGCCACTGCCTTCTCCTGCTTCTTTACTAACCACCTGAACCTCCTCACTCCCAGCTCTGAGCTTATTCCTGAAAGCCGCCACTTTGATCAGAAACTCCCCTTCATTTAAAGAAACAAACAAAAACCCTAAAGGCTAAAAAGTGAAGGCTAAAAGTAGTTATATCTAAAGTCTTGAAAAAACTAAATTTTTAACTGAAATAAGATATTAAATAATACCAGTATCATTAACCTCTAACAGCACTTCTTTAAGATGCACACAGAACGCCTGAGCATCTCAATGATTATGATTCAGGTTATGATTCACTACCTTCAAGGTGGAGCGGAGAGACAGAGTCTCGCACTGTCACTCAGGCTGGAGTGCAATGGTGCGATCTCAGCTCACTGTAATCTCCGCCTCCTAGGTTCAAGCAATTCTGCCTCACCCTCTCGAGTAGCTGGGACTACAGGTGTGCGCCACCACGCCCAGCTAATTTTTTGTATTTTTAGTAGAGATGGGGTTTCACCATGTTGGCCAGGATGGTCTCGATCTCCTGACCTGTGATCCACCCGCCTCGGCCTCCCAAAGTGCTGGGATTACAGGCGTGGGCCACTGCACCCCGAGATTCTGCATTTCTAACAGGCTCCCAGGTGATGCTTCTGCTGCGGACACTGCTAAGTGGCAGAAGTCACGTGGCCAAACCTTGCAAAGCTCCCTCAGAACTGCTTCCAAACCACAACTATTGATACTTATAAAGCAGGTCTCCCTCATCTGTTTCCAAGAACTGTAATTCAAATTATTTAAATTTCCCGAGACTGCAAAATGCTAGCTCATTCATTTCCCCCTGGGAAGGGTCTCCATTGCTTTCAACAGATTCTTAAAGGAGTCCTTACCCCCGGAAAAGGCTAAGAAGGATTGTACTTATAAAAACCAAAATTCCTCAAAGACTTGTTATTTATAAGTGGTATAGTTTCCTACCTTGGCGAGTTATCAGAATTGCAAAAATACTGTTTTCTGCTCTTTGGTCATTATAACGAAGCGGTATTTCAGCTATGCTGTAGACTACGTGGAATCAGTGTTCTGGCCTGGGAAGTAAGCTTCCTGAACCATGTGTCACATACTGTGTGATGTGTTGCAACTTATAAAAGAATTTTAGAATGAAACCCAGATGTAAACTAAACAAAGAAAGGAAATGTCAAAATATCAAACTCTCTAAATAGCTCAGTTCCTTCAAAAGACCAAGTGCTTTTGATAAGGAAACATAGGACATGGTGGAAAATACAAATTGATACTAAAATCCTACAGAAGAGGTGTAAAGCTTTACACTTGGAGAAAAAATAAACTTTAGTGTTCAGGATGGGTGGTATGTTAAGACAAATTTTCTGAAAATTTTTCCTTTAAGTGAAACAGACCAGCTTGAATTCTCCATGAAAGAATTAAGCCTTCGTGGAGACACAGCATTGCTAGTACATGGAACTCTGAAGTGATGTTTCCTGTCTGCAGAAACACAAACAGATAGGAAATGGATTCGGGAGGGAGCATTGCATATGCAGAGGCGGTCCCACAGAGGCCTTTTGAAAGGGCAGCTGGTAGCCAACGTCTGAGAACTTAAGATCTTGGGAGTTTCACAGATGCAAAAATCTTCAATAAAATACTGGCAAGCCGACTGCAACAGCACATCAAAAAGCTTATCCACCATGATCAAGTAGGCTTCATCCCGGGGATGCAAGGCTGGCTCAACACACGCAAGTCTATAAACGTAATTCACCACATAAACAGAACCAAAGACAAAAGCCACACGATTATCTCAATCGATGCAGAGAAGGCCTTTGACAAAATTCAACAGCACTTTATGCTAAAAACCCTCAATAAACTAGGTATTGACGGAACGCATCTCAAAATAATAAAAGCTATTTACGACAAACCAACAGCCAATAATCATACTGAATGGGCAAAAACTGGAAGCATGCCCTTTGAAATCTGGCACTAGACAAGGATGCCCTCTCTCCCCACTCCTATTCAATATAGTACTGGAAGTTCCAGCCAGAGCAATCAGGCAAGAAAAAGAAATAAAGGGTATTCAAATAGGAAAGGAGGAAGTCAAATTGTGTCTATTTGCAGACGACATGATCGTATATCTAGAAGACCCCATCGTCTCAGCCCAAAATCTCCTGAAACTGATAAGCAACTTCAGCAAAGTCTCAGGACACAAAATCAATGTGCAAAAATCACAAGCATTCCTATACATCAGTAACAGACTTAAAGAGAACCAAATCAAGAACGAACTGCCATTCACAATTGCTACAAAGAGAATAAAGTACCTAGGAATACAACTAACGAGGAACATAAAGGACCTCTTCAAGGAGAACTACAAACCATTGCTCAACGAAATAAGAGAGGATACAAACAGATGGAGAAACATTCCATGTTCATGGTTAGGAAGGATCAACATCGTGAAAATGGCCATACTGCCCAAAGTAATTTACAGATTCAACGCTATTCCCATCAAGCTACCAATGACCTTCTTCACAGAACTGAAAAAAAACACCTTAAACTTCACATGGAACCAAAAGAGAGCCCGCATAGCCAAGTCAATTCTAAGCAAAAAGAACAAAGCGGGAAGCATCACACTACCGGACTTCAAACTATACTACAAGGCTGCAGTAATCAAAACAGCATGGTACTGGTACCAAAACAGAGATATAGACCAATGGAACAGAACAGAGGCCTCGGAAGCAACACAACATATCTACAACCATCTGATCTTTGACAAACCCCTCACAAAAACAAGCAATGGGGAAAGGATTCCCTGTTTAATAAATGGTATTGGGAAAACTGGTTAGCCATGTGCAGAAAGCAGAAACTGGACCCCTTCCTGACACCTTACACTAAAATTAACTCCAGATGGATTAAAGACTTAAACATAAGACCTAACACCATAAAAACCCTAAAAGAAAATCTAGGCAAAACCATTCAGGACATAGGTGTAGGCAAGGACTTCATGACCAAAACACCAAATGCATTGGCAACAAAAGCCAAAATAGACAAATGGGACCTAATCAACTCCACAGCTTCTGCACGGCAAAAGAAACAGTCAGTAGAGTGAATCGGCAACCAACAGAATGGGAAAAAATTTTTGCAATCTACCCATCTGACAAAGAGCTGATATCGAGAATTTACAAAGAACTATAACAGATTTACAAGAAAAAAAATCAAACAAACCCATTCAAAAGTGTGCAAAGGATATGAACAGACACTTTACAAAAGACGACATACATGAGGCCAACAAATTTATGAAAAAGCGTTCATCATCACTGGTCATCAGAGAAATGCAAATCAAAACTACATTGAGATACCATCTCATGCCAGTTAGAATGGCGATCATTAAAAAATCTGGAGACAACAGATGCTGGAGAGGATGTGGAGAAATAGAAACACTTTTACACTGCTAGTGGGAGTGTAAATTAGTTCAACCATTGTGGAAGACAGTGTGGTGATTCCTCAAGGACCTAGAAATAGAAATTCCATTTGACCTAGCAATCCCATTACTGGGTATATACCCAAAGGATTATAAATCATTCTACTACAAGGACACGTGCACACGAATGTTCATTGCAGCACTGTTCACAATAGCAAAGACCTGGAACCAACCCAAATGCCCATCAATGATAGACTGGACAGGGAAAATGTGGCACATATACACCATGGAATATTATGCAGCCATCAAAAACGATGAGTTCGTGTCCTTTGCAGGGACATGGATGAACCTGGAAACCATCATTCTCAGCAAACTGACACAAGAGCAGAAAATCAAACACCACATGTTCTCACTCATAGGCGGGTGTTGAACAATGAGAACACATGGACACAGGGAGGGGAGCGTCACACACTGGGGTCTGTTGGGGGGAAATGGGGGGGTGGGGAGGTGGGGAGAGATAGCATGGGGAGAAATGCCAGATACGGGTGATGGGGAGGCAGGCAGCAAACCACACTGCCACGTGTATACCTATGCAACAATCTTGCATGTTCTTCACATGTACCCCAAAACCTAAAATGCAATAATAAAAAATAATAATAATTAAAAAAAAGGATCTTGGGAGTTTCCACTACCGTTAACTGACAGGAGTGGCTCATGATACCTAAAACGTACAATCATTTCAGTTTATACCAATACCTGCTCTCCTTCTGGGAGTCTGGAAACGCCGAAATGTGCCAGGTAGAGGTGGCCTAAGTGACCAGCCCCAAGTAAAAGCCCTGGGCACTGAGCCTCTAACCAGCTCCCCTGGTCGGCAACATTTCACAAGCGTCAAGACAACCAGTGGCTGAAGCAACTGAGCACAGCCAGTGCAACCGCCGGAAGACCTAGAGCCTCGCACTTGGTCTCCCCCAAGCTTCCCCCACGTGCCTCTTCTCTTTGCTGGAAGTCCTTTCCCCGGTGTCCCTTCCCTGTCATAAATCAGCAGAGTCCTCCTAGCAAATTGCTGAACTAAGGACGGTCTTGGGGACCACAGCCCACTGCTCACGTTTAATTTTTAAAAACTTAGATTGGCTTATTAGGTTTGTATTACTAAAGGCACCCTATAGAGTAATTTTATATTCATCCAAACATTAATCTCTCACAATTGGGCAGTTTAAAATTTAAGCAGCAGGAAGATGAAAACCAAAAGCTTGTTTCAAGCATAATATATGAATGCAGTATAAACACATTCACCAGAAAACCTGGCTAAGCAAAGAATGCAAAGCACTTAAGCCAAAATAAAATCAGTTAAAGAATCTTTCCCATCTACGATCACTAACAAAATAAACCTCAATACTGCATAACAATTGCCTTCGTTAGAATATAAATTTCACTACCCATACTGCCAAAAGTTACACCATTTCTTTCTCTGTGTTCATGTTGAAATGATTTGAGGCTCAGTTAATTGGAGCCTAGCTTAGAGGTTTCTGGGCAAACACACTATTTCTCTGATTCTCACACCACTCACACTGTAAGACAACCATTGCTTTTAACAGCTTTCTAGAGCAGAGGGGAGAAGAGATGAAGCATCCTACCACATTAAACATATAAAATACTAAGGTACATATCACAATTTCAGAAACAGCAAAAAGTAAATCACATATCTTAGAATCCAAAAATATCTAGAAGAGTAGAGCCAACACAAGCTTGCCCGTAAACCTCAGAGCCCACCCTAATAAGAGTAAATATTTCTATAAAGTAACAGAAAGTTTTTGAAAAGCAACTGTTTTCCATTTGAGTTGACTGTAAGCATTAAAATGTAAAAAAGATTAAAAGATTTGTGGTTCACACTTTGGTGACTACCCACAGATAAACCCTATAAGAAAAATCAGTGTTGACAACCATACTACGGGCAACAGATAGTCACTATATTTGTAAGTTATCCTAAGCTGTTTTCTATAACATTTGAGGACACGAAGACATAAGGAAGTTCTTGAAGGAAGGGATTTGCATATCCCCGGAAGCAAGCAAGGTGTGGGAAGTAGGAGGGCCTCAAGAAATGTGTGCTGAATTTTTCACGTTTGCATCTTTTGTCTGCATACAATTTTGGAGACAGATCACAAAGGCCTTACACAAAACAGTTACGGAGAAAACAGATGGCTTGTGCAGTAGGGATTAGTTTTCTGATGGCAGCTGTCACTTCAGGATTCAACAGTATCGAAAGAGCTAAAAGGCGCTTTAGACATCAGTAGTTATTACTCAAGCAGGGAGGGAAGTATGAGCGTCTACATCCCCTGGGCAGTGTTTTACAGAATGTAGTTTAGAGTTACTAGCAAGGTTGCCAGCATGCAAATTTCTGGGTCCCTTATCAAGCCCACTGGATTGCCACTTCTGATGGCTGGGGCCCAGAAAGCCGCATTAACATAATACGCTCTCTAGATGAATTACAGGCCCACTAATGAAGGACAAGAGTCAAACGCAGCTCAGTTAAACACACACGGCTGTCAGAAATTATATACTGCTTGGAACAAGGTTACCTAGGCTGACCTTAAAACATTTCTTTTTGGCTCAGAGATATGCTAATCCGGAGAGGGAAAACTGGTTCTCCTATTGACATAAAGGGGTGATCAGCTGTTATGTTTTTATTTTAGAGAGGAAACGGACTGTACCTCAATGTATTTTGGTGACCATGAGGTTACAAAGCTTGATGTCCAGGAGGCAAAAACCAGTACCAGCGGAATAAGCTGGGTAAATCAGGTTCCTCCGCTCAAAGACGAGCCCAGTGAAATGAAATTTACTGAGGCACCAAATTTACAGCCAATGAGTGGTGAGATCAGATCCTCTTCCTCCGTCTACCCTTCCTGAAACTGTGAATACCCTGGTCTCAGTAACCTGCTGGACGACCCAGCTGCCGGCCAATCACGGTGGAATTATTTGCTGGTAAATGAGTTGAAAGCATGGATGTAACGCAGCTTCCTTTCCTCCCACACACCGGAACCCCAGGTTTCCCAGCGGTAAAGGGCGTCTGCTAGGCCCGATCTCACGGCCGGCGGCGCGGCCCACGTGGAGGCCGCGCTCGCACAGGCGGTTCTGCCGCCACCGGGCGGAGGCCGGCAGCACCCTCCGTGCTAAGCCTCCAGACTTTGCGTGCGCTCGTCACCGGCCTAGGGACCATTAGCAGGGCACTCGTGCGACCCTCTGTGCCCAAGGCTTCCGCTACCCTACCCCTACCCGGCCGCACCCACCCCAACCAGGTCTCCGGGGGATGGGGCGCCCGGGCGCGCGTCCGCGGCCCGCAACCACAGCGCCGGCCTCCGAGGCTTCCAGCCGGTCCCGCAGGTCCCCCAGACCCGCACCCTGGCCCTGGTGCCTAAGGCAGCGGCGCGCGCCCCGCGGAATCTCGCACGGCACGGCCTGTCCGCGCGCAGCGCTGCCAACGAGAGCGCCTCACTCACCCGGCACGGCCTGTTGCGCGCGGCCCCGAGCCCACTGTGCGACGGCGCGGCGCGCGGCGGTCGGGGGCGGGGCGGCTGGGCGCGCGGAGGCCGGGGGCGGGGCGGCTGGGCGCGCGGAGGGCGGGGGCGGGGCGGCTGGGCGCGCGGAGGCCGGGGGCGGGGCGGCTGGGCGCGCGGAGGCCGGGGGCGGGGCGGCTGGGCGGGCGGAGGCCGGGGGCGGGGCGGCTGGGCGCGCGGAGGGCGGGGGCGGGGCGGCAGGGCGGGCGGAGGCCGGGGGCGGGGCGGCTGGGCGCGCGGAGGGCGGGGGCGGGGCGGCAGGGCGGGCGGAGGCCGGGGGCGGGGCGCCTGGGCGCGCGGAGGGCGGGGGCGGGGCGGCTGGGCGCGCGGCGGTCGGGGGCGGGGCGGCTGGGCGCGCGGGGGCTGGGGGCGGGGCGGCTCGGGGCGCGCGGCGACCGGGGGCGGGGCGACTAGGCGCGCGGGGCTGGGGGCGGGGCGGCTGGGCGCGCGGGGGCCGGGGGCGGGGCGGCTGGGCGCGCGGCGGCTGGGGCGGGGCGGCTCGGCGCGCGCGGCTGGGGGCGGGGCGGCTGGGCGCGCGGTGATGGGGGCGGGGCGGCTGGGCGCGCGGGGCCGGGGACGGGGCGGCTGGGGGCGGGGCGGCTGGGCGCGCGGGGCTGGGGGCGGGGCGGCTGGGCGCGCGGCGGCTCGGGGCGCGCGGGGGCTGGGGGCGGGGCGGCTGGGCGCGCGGCGGCTCGGGGCGCGCGGGGGCTGCGGGCGGGGCGGCTGGGCGCTCGGCGGCTCGGGGCTCGCGGCGGCTGGGGGCGGGGCGGCTGGGCGCGCGGTGTTGGGGGCGGGGCGGCTGGGCGCGCGGGGGCCGGGGGCGGGGCGGCTGGGGGCGGGGCGGCTGGGCGCGCGGGGGCCGGGGGCGGGGCGCCGTGGGCACGTTCCGGGCCGCTCTCGCGCCCCTGCCCGCCACCCCACGCCAGCCTGCACGTGGTGGGAGCCCTGGGGCCTGGTTTCCTGGCCGTGTTCCGTGTTGACGCATACGGAAGGAAATAAATGGCCTTTTTTTTTTTTTCATCAAAATTTTTTGGTATGTGAGTGTGCAGTGGTGCGATCTCGGCTCATTGCAACCTCCACCTCCCGGGCTCAGGCATCCTCCTGCCTCAGCCTCCCAAAGTGCTGGATTGCCAATTGACACCTATTGGCACTATTGCCTAGTGGCACCTTAAACCTATTGGCACAAGTTTAAGGGTTTGGGGTCCAATTTTCAAAGGGCATTAGAAGAAAAAAATCAGCCTGATTGGATTTATCATTCTATGAACATTGAACTTATAAAATGATGAATGTTCATATTTTTGTTTTAAAGCTTTATTCTATAATGCCACAGTGTTGTACAACTCCAGGAAACACACGTTGCTTTAAACTGTGTGAGTACTGCACCCTGTGTGTTTGTATTCACTTTGGTCCGGAAGAGAGCTAAATAATGTCTTTCTTGTATATGACTTTTAATATTGATACCACTATATTGACCTAACTTTTTAATATAAGGAAACAGACATATCAAGGTTAAGTAATTTGCTCAAACTTACACAGTCATTTGACAGCCCATTGTTTTTGTTTGGGCTGCCGTAAGAAAATACCCTAGTCCGGGTGGCTTATAAGCAACAAAAATGGATTTCTCGCAGTTTTGGAGGCTTGCTCTCTGGTTCACAGCATCCTCACATGGTGAAGCAGCAAGGCGGTTCTGTGGGACCTCTTTATTATCGCATTTATAAGGCTTTACCATCATGACCTAATGTCCTCGCAAAGGCCCCACCTCCTAATCACATTGATGATTCTGTTTCATTGTATGGATCCAGGGTGGGGACAAACATTCAGACCATAGCCGCCTTGCTGCCTACCAAGTAATCGTCTTTGGACCTCTGTTTATGCTTCTCCAAAAGTGACTAACTTCATCTAACTCAGAAAGAAGCTGTGAGCTTCAGGTGAGACGGAATAAGCCAAAGAGTTTCATAACTGTAAAATGCTATTCCGTGTGAGAGGCATTATTGTTAAATCCGGTATGATATCTTGAACATGATTCCATAGAATGAATTAAATGCATGATTCCATAGAGTGAATTAAATGCCTTTTATACATGCATACTTCACTTAATTTACACAACTCATCAAGAAGGGCACCTTCAAATTGATGTCATATCACCATGGGATAATCTTGGTCTCTTAGTACTTCAGAAAAGTCAAATTTGTTTAATAATGACCCAGGCTGAGGTATTTTATTTTGGTCTTGGGTTGGTTGGTTGGTTGGTTTTTTAAGACAGAGTCTCGCTCTGTTGCCCTGGCTGCAGTGCAGTGGCACAATCTTGCTCATCGCAACCTCCACCTCCCTGGTTTCAAGCAATTCTCCTTCCTCAGCCTCCTGAGTAACTGGTACTACAGGCGCCTGCCACCAGGCCTGCCTAATCTTTGTATTTTTGGTAGAGACTGGGTTTCACCATGCTATCCAGAGTGGTCTTGATCTCCTGACTTCGAGATCCGCCAGCCTTGGCTTCCCAAAGTGTTGGGATTACAGGCGTGAGCCACTGCACCCAGCTGGTCTTTTAAGACTATATTCATTATGATACAGCTCATAGAACTCAATATATTTAACTTGATAACAAGCATATCATGAATGTTTGGAATTATATTTTGCATATTTATGTAACTATGGTTTAAACTCCTTGGGAGCAGGAAATATGCCTTCTTTAGTTCTGAGAATTGAAACAGCGTTCTTCACAGAGCAGTTACTCAGTGTTCACGAAATTGAATTGGGTTAGCATCCCCATTTCTTTTCTTGCTTAGAGTCTAATTTCTTTGACAGCCTGTGCCTATAGGAAAGTTGGTGTTAGGCTGCATGACTTTTCTTAAATTAAAGATTCTGCAGACCTCCTTTCTCAAACAACCCAGCACTTGCAGGTGAAAAAATATGCCTCAGGATTTTCCAATGACTTTTCCTTACAGAGATGTTTTCTCACTTAACATGTTATCATAAATCTTGAAGTAGACTTGCCCATGATTCTTATAAAAATATATACTCCTGCAGAAGTGCCTTCTGCTCACACTCTTTGGCTTGGTTTGCTAAAAGGTAAACAAGCACCTATTTAAAATGTTTCCTAGGAGACTAACAGAGGGTATACGTGGATGAGGAGCCCCCAGCATCACGATGCAACGTTAGTTTACTTATTTTCCTTTAAAATTTTATCATAATGACCTAAAAAATGACCAAGTAAGGTGGTACTAGTCAGGTACTGATGGGTCTGCTGATGAATTTTTTAAAAATTTTCAAGAAAGATAAAAATATACCTCATATAAACTTTCTGAATATAGAAAAGGAAAACAGCTGAAAGAAAATTACAGACAAATATTATTTATAAACCTAGAGGCGGCTGGGCGCAGTGGCTCAAGCCTGTAATCCCAGCACTTTGGGAGGCCAAGGCGGGCAGATCAGGAGGTCAAGATCGAGACCATCCTGGCCACCATGGCGAAACCCGTCTCTACTAAAAAAAACAAAAAAATTTGCCGGGTGTGGTGGCGCGTGCCTGTGGTCACAGTTACTCGGAAGGCTGAGGTGGAAGAATCGCTTGAACTCAGGAGGCGGAGGTTGTAGTGAGCCGAGATCGCACCACTGCACTCCAGCCTGGTGACAGAGCAAGACCCTGTCTCAAAAAAAAAAAAAAAAAAAAAAAACCAAAAACCTAGAGGCATAACTTTTAGTGAAATAACGTCTGTGGGATTTTGACCTGAAATTTCATATGAATCTCCAAAAACTGGAAACAATTTTATTATTCTTTTATTTGTTCAACACCACTTTTCATTTTTCAGGCTCTTTTTGAAAACGGAGTACACAGACTTGTTAATACACACAAAATCTAAAAGGAGGATACTATAGCTGTCCAAATGTTACATGTGATGAAACTGAGGCCCTAGGAAACTTTTAAGTTATTAGCCAAAGGTCACAGAGTAATGGAGAGAGAACCAATATTTTCATTGGTGCCACCTGGCGTTAGAACAGGGTTCCTTAGCCTTGGCAATATCAACATTTTGGTCTGTCATTCTTCGTGTGGGAGGCTGTCCCATGCATTGCAGGATGTATCATGGCATCCCTATCCTCCACCCCCCAAATGCCCATTGTGCTGCCACCCCTAGTTAAAACAGCCTAAATTTATCTAGACATTACGGAATTCCTCCTGGGAGTACCTTCTACCCCAGCTCTTACTCTCACACTATACTGCAGTTAAACAGCACTTTTAAATATATTCTCAAGGGGAGATGTTAGATATTGACCTGTAGGGCTTACTTGAAAAGGCCCGAGAGAGTCCTGTGACCATCACTCACATTCAGGCTATATAAAGACAAGGAAAGTTAGGGGAAATTTATGGAAGTAGGGAGTTTTGGGCATCGTAGATTTTCAGGCTAGCTGACATTTCCGTAGCATGTGCCTTCCTCCCCCAAGTCAAGTGAGAGGGATTCCAGAGCCCGGGCAGGGAAGGGTTCTCTGTAAGAGGGTATCTGACACGATGCTTGCTGAGCTGCGGAATCTGCTGGTCTGCTCTGGGCCTGCTGTCAGAGAATATCCTACTGGGGCTGGAAAGTTCTTGCAGTCTGGAGATACGGCCCTGGGGATGTGGAGGCTGCTTCTCACCCGGAGCATCGTCACGGAGGAGTTGGCTGGTGACCTCATCATAGCACTCTGAGGCAAAAAGGCAGTGTGAGGGCAGCCTGCTCTCACACAGATGATCACATCAAGGACCGTTGAGCCTCCTCTGGGCTGAGTGATTGGTGTGGAAAAGTGACAAACAGGGGCGTCGGGGACCGGGAGGCACTGGGGTCCATCGGCCCAGACAGAAAAAGAAACACAAGGTCTCAGGCAGTGTGTCAGAGATCTCAAGGTTAATGTCAAGAAACCCAGGGCCTCCAAATCAACCTTCTCCTTGTCAACTAAAGAAAAAGCTAGACTTTCAAAGAATTAAAATTAATTTCCTTCAGAGTCTTACTGACAGTTGCAACTAGGGAGAGCCTTTCAG